ATGGAGACTTAAACTATATATAAAAGAATAGCGTTTCCTTCTAAGGATATAAATTATAAATATTTAAATAAGGATGTATCTGTTGATAGTCGTTTAATAGATAAGAGTTGCTCTTTAATCTACATAACATGCGCTGTTTTTAGCTTGGCACTAAAAATAAGCAGGTGGAATCACTTTGCGCAAGGGATGTAGTGTAGAAAATGTGTTTGCAACTTGAATTTGTACAAAAAAAATGTGTTAAATTTTCTGGAGGTGGATAATTTTTAAGGGGAATTCTGTAGTGATTTCTGTTTTACAGGTAAAGTCAGACATTCTTTTTAAAAATTTTTATTTTTGAGTTGAAGTCTCATTCCATTGCCCAGGTTGGAGTGCAGTGGCACGCTCACAGCCACCGCAGCCTCGACCTGCTGGGCTCAGGTGATCCTTCTGTCTCAGTCTTCCAAGTAGCTGGAACTACAGTCATGCGCCACCATGTCTGGCTAATTTTTTGACTTATTGTAGAGATGAGGTCTCGCCAAGTTGCCCTGGCTGGTCTTGAACCCATGGGCTCAGGTAATCCTCTCACATCAGCCTCCCAAAGTGCTAGGATTATAGGCATGAGCCAGTGCACCCAGCCCAGACTTTCTTTTTATAAATTCAGTGACTAACATTCCCACTTTAAAACAGTAGCAGATTCAGGATTCAGGAGAACGTTACCTGGCTGTCAAAAATCTGCACTCCAATCCCAGGCTTATGTAATCGTGTTGGGATAGAATTGGGAGGATGGCATTAGCTGATTTCTAAGTACACTTTCACTTCTGAAATTCCAGGATTCCCATTTCAATTCTTTAGTAGCTGGGTTTGTTCAAAATAAAAGAGGGTGAAGACTCAATAGATGGTAACATGCTAAAGGTGTACCATCCAGCACCATAGCCACTAGCGACAAGTGGCTGTTTAGCACTAGAAATACAGTTGGGCAAAACTGAAATGTGTACACTCTAGATTTCAATGAACTATACTTCTGAAATTGAGATATATCTCATAAATTAATGTTTTATATTGATTATATGTTGTAAGGACAATATCTTGGATATCCTGGGTTAACTAAACCATTAAATGAAAAAAAAAAAGCCGGGCTCGGTGGCTCAGCCTGTAATCCCACGCCTTGGGAGGCTGAGGTGAGTGGATTGCCTGAGCTCGCGGGTTCGAGACCCAACTGGGCAGCGAGACCTCATCTCTACAATAAATCAAAAAATTAGCCGGGCGTGGTAGCGCGCACCTATAATTCCAGCTACTCGGAAGGCTGAGGAGGAAGGATCACCGGAGCCCAGTAGGTTGAGGCTGCGGTGGCCGGGAGCGGCCACTGCACTCCAGTCTGGGTGACAGAGTGAGACTCCAACTCAAAAAAAAAGAGGAAAAAAAATCAAACAGATTTCTGGGCCTAGTCCAATTCTACCTGAGCATTTTAGTTTTAACCACCCTCCCAGGTGATCCTGGTGATAGGCAGATTTATATAAAGCACTACCAAAAAAAATGATCTTAATATGGTAGGGAAACCCCAGGCCTCATCTCCGACCAGAGGGCCAGAGTGCATGCACTGGTGACACTTGTGTGCAAACTAAAAGTGCCACCCAACATTCTGAAATCAGAGCAGCAGTAAATGAAACAGAGGAGCAGCATCTTCCCTTCTCTGTTGCTGGAGTTCTAAAGATGTGACCAAGGACATAGACAGTTGAAGAGAAGTAAAATATAGGACACCTTCTACATGATTTTCTTTTAAGAATTTTTTTTTTTAGAGACGAAGTCTCACTATGTTGCCCAGGCTGATCTCAAAACCCTGGGTTCAAGCAATCCTCCCACCGCAGCCTCCCAAAGTGCTCATGATTCGTTTTAAAAATGGCTAACCTACCGTAAAAGCATGTTTCATGAAGCCAAGGCTTCTGCCTAAAGTCTGGGGCCAGACACAGGGCAGTTGCTGACCTCAGCAGCCTCTTCGGAGGTTGCTGAATGGGCAAACACACTCGCTTCTTACCCATAATCATAAAGACCACTAAATATTAGGACAAAGTCATGACTTCAGAGAAGATCCAGCAACAGCTTCCCATGTTGAGAAAACCAAGGACCACACAGAAAGGCCAATTCGTCTACGCCCTAGCAGGTCAAAGACTTGGGATCAGAATCCAGCAAACCAGAGTCCCAGTTCCAAGAACCAGGGTTCTTTCTACCATGTCATAAATCACCTATTCTCCCTAAAATCACCCTGGGAACAGAACTGGCCTCAGAGCCTGGGGCAGAAATAGGTCTTCAGGGGGTATTCTCCACAATAAAAAGTACATGAGTTTGGAGCCTGGTAGCATGACTCTGAGCAAGTTAATGAATCTCCCTTGGCCTCAGTTTCCTCAACTGAAAGATATCATTCCTAACACCTATATCACAATATTGCCATGAAGATATGAGGAAAAAACAAATGCTTGTTAGATATGTTTTTGAGCACACAATAGACCCTCATTAATGGTAGCAATTGTGATCATTACTGTATAGAAATTCACTATAAAACTCTGTAGTCCTTTCCCTGTTTAATACTCTGGAGAGCTGAGGCAGGGCCCTATCTTGAAATAGTGACCTAAGTGCCATCAGCATCTCAGTCACCTGCATAGATAGATTTCCTAAGTCCATGGACAAGGGAAGCACCAGAGGAGCGTCCCCTGCTAGAGAAGGTCACTAAGAACTGGCCCTGGGTGTCACGACTCCCAAGAAAGATGTTCTGGAGGATAAAAGAAGAGCCAGTCCCAAATGGAGCACCACGTGGCTCCTATATTGGCCTATTTACAACGCCCCCTCAATCCCACCCCACGCCCGTTAAACACAGGCTACCTTTGTGTGCTCAACCCACTCAGGCCAAGGAGTACAGGATTCCCCCAGGGCCTGGGTTGAGGTAAACAAGCTCAACGGGAGTCTCTTCTACTGGAAATATTGGCCTGAATGTCAGTGGCATCCATCATTCATGCATTTCTGAAGGGGTTATGATAACCCAGCAAAAATAGAAGCAGAAGTCTGTTCACACATCTGATCCTTGAAGAGAAGTCAAGCATTTCAAGAACTGAGACACTCACTAGGGGATAGGGAGATGTGATTTAAAAAAAAAAAAAAGAGGAGGAGGAAGAGGAGAATTTAACATGAGAATAGTGATGAGGCCAGGAAAAAATAAAAATAAAGCAGTCACAAAGAGGACATCTACTAAGTCCACTCCTAGAATGTCCCAGAACCTCTGTTGGAAGAAAACTTAAAACGTTACCTGGTTCAGCTGTCTACAATACTATAATTTCATCTACAATGTCCCCAAAGTAACTGTCCTATGACGGTTACCTCCAGAGACAGGGAACTCCAGGTTCCGTGTTCTAACGAGGCAGACCACTCATTCTTAGAAGGTTTTCATGCTCACCAAACACCACTCCCTATGGCAGTTCCATCCCTTGGTCCTAGCTGTAGCCTCTGGAATATTATCCAATAAATGGAATCCTTCTTCCTTACACTGCCTTTGGAACAAAGACCCCCCTGAGCACTTGAAGCTGCCACAGGATGAGGTGGAAATGAACAGCTAGTGACTTAAAAGGAAAATAAGGACTCCAGAGCAGGCAATTATAAATGATACAATCAGAAACAAAGGGAGAGAGACAACACTGTTATCAGAACAGCATTTACCCATGTAGCCTCCGCTCCCAGTCAAACCCTGAGTCTGAACTCAGCGCCCATGTGGGAGCCTTTTGTGCTGCTTTCTTCTTGACTTCAAGAACATCTGTAAAGAAAACACGTTCTAAATGTACACGTTCATAACCATAAGCTAGGTTCTAGACCAGAGTCAAAAGAGGGTCCTGATCGTGCTTAAACTAATACAGTCAAAATCATTTTCATCTGTTGGTATTAAGCTAAGACATAATACAGAGATGGGAAGAAAGAGGAGGACGTCATGGCAATGTAGAAATGAGTGCAGTACAGGAAAGTGCTTCCTGGACAACTGGATTAAGTCTTGTTGCGAAATGTACATAAGAAAAAAAATTGAGTGAAAAACAGACCCAGGCCCATCCAGATCAGAGCAGAGAGGACCCTTAGGGATTCAACTCCATCACTGCAGCGACCGAGAAACCTAAACTAAGTCACCTCAGGTTGCCAAGTGCAGCGTTAAAACAAGACTCCTAATTCCCCAATCTCAGCTCTTTCCATGGACAAGCTGCTATCTTAGGTCAGCAAGCCTCAAATAACTGCAAAACACCCATCCAGACAGCTGGTCTTACCCCAATCTGCCAAGTTCCCCAAGTTTCCCAAATCTGTCACTCCGATTCACATCTCATATTTTGGTATGACTTACACAGAACTGCAGAATGGTTCCTACCAAACCTACAGAACGATGAGTTTGCAGAAAAATCACGAACCAACAGGAGACCACACCCAGAGCCAACCCACCCCGGGCTATGGAGAATGCAGGCGGCTAAAAAGGGAAAGGACGGAGAGAGAAAGGAAAGCAAGGTGGGGTGCCCTTTCGCATGTCAAGTCTCCAGGAGGCAGCGTGGTGGAAAGCAAACAGTTGCTGGCGCTCAGGACACTTGGATTCTAGTCGCAGGTCGGCGACTCACTCACTGGGTGACCTCAGGCAAGCCCTGGCCCCTTTCTGGGCCTCGGTTTCCCCAACTGCCCTAGGAGGGGGTTGCACCAGGCGACTCCCGGGGTACCTGCAGGACTGATACTCTATGACCCAAAGTCCCATTACTGGCAAGTCCCGAGCAGAGATCCGCGGCGGAGGGGACACTTGCTCTTAACAGCAGGACGGAGCTCTCTGGGAAGCGCGGTCTCTGGGTGATCTTGCCCACCTCCGGGCCTCAGTCTCCCCGCCTGTCACATAGCACAGGGAGCCCCCAACCCCGTGAAGTCCAGGGAGATGGTGCGCGGGGCGAGGGGTCTCCACCTGTCCCCATCCCGGAGATGCCCGCCGCGAGCTGGACCCGCAGCCCGGCCCGGAGCCTGACCTGGAGCATCTGCCGCGGGAGGGCGACGTGGGTCCTGCCCGAGGGATGCCGCCGCCGGCCGGACGGTCGGCGCAGGGACGCGCAGTCGGGTTCCAGCCCGGTTCTGCCGGCAGCACAGCCCACCCTCCCGCCTTCAGCACCCACCCCTAAGCCAGCCTCCAGGGCGGCCCGGCAGCCGCTTCCGGGCCTTGTCACGTGATTCGAGGCCCGGGTCACGTGCTCCCTCCCCCGCCCGCTTCTTTCTTCCCACTGAGCTCCTGGCTCTGTTCCGCAGCACCACCTGGCGACCCATTTCTGCCACTTCAGGGAGGCCTGGGCCCATTTCTGCGTTCCGGGGGGCTGGGGCTGGGTCTCGGAGTAGGAAATGAAGGGCATTGACCTTGGGCATGGACAGAGTTCAGTCAAGGAACACAGTTCCATGAGTTGTGAAATATGGCTAATATTTACACTTGCTGTATTTTCTTTAACACGTATCCTTGAGCGTGTATTGCTTTTATAATCAAGAAATATGCCTATTTTTACAAATCTTCTACTCATACATTTAGAAGCATTCACAAACTCTCATCTGTGTTTGCTGCTGGAAATGGAACTGTGAGGCAGGGCAATGCTATCTTTTAGCAAACTTTTAAGTAACATTTAAAAATGGATGGCAACATTTCAGTGTTGTATGTAGTATCTAGTCTGCTCATTTTTACTCTTTCTTGTTGCAGATCTTTCCTTTAAAAATTATGTAACAAATAGACTTAAAGTAAACTGTAACAAGAGACAAAGAAGATCATTGTCTAGTGATAAAGGGGTCAGTTCATCAAGAGAACATAACCACTGTAAATATATATGCACCCAACATTGGAGCACCTAACTACTCGCAACAAACATTAACAGACATGAAGGGAGAAATAGATAGCAATACAACAGTAGTAGGAATAGCCCTCTTTCAACAGTGGGTAAATCAGTCAGACAGAAATTAGTAAGGAAATACTGGACATGAATTGCACTTTAACCCAAATGACCTAGCAGACATACAGAACATACCATCCAACAGCAACAGAATACCCATCTTTCTGTAAGGCACTTGGGACATTCTCCAGGATAGACTATATGTTAGACCACAAAATGAGTCTTATATTTAAGAAAATTGAAATCATATCGGTATCAATAACAAGATAAATATTGAAACAGATATGTACAAGTTAAACAACATTATCCTAAACAACCAATGAGGCAAAGAATAAATCAAAAGCAAAACTAGAAAAATACCTTCACACAAATGACAATGGTAACATAACATACCAAAACCCATGGGTTGTGGCACAAGTAGTTTTAAGAGGCAAATTTATAGCAATAAAAGCCTACATTTAAAAAGAAGAAAGATCCTAAATAAATAGTTTGACATTACACCTCAAGGAATTAGAAAAAAATTAAACCCAAAATTAGCAAAAGAAAGGAAATAATAAAGATCAGAACAGAAATCAAATAAACAGGAAAAAAAAACTAGAAAACTTCTTTTAAAAAAACTAAGACTTGGTTTTTAAAAAATACAAAATTGACAAACTCTTAGGTAGTTAACTAAGAAAAGAGAGGGGAAATTCAAATAAATAAAAATCAAAAATGAAAGTGAAGACATTACAACAGTTGTCTCAGAAATAAAAAAGGATTATAAAGGACTATTATGAACGATTATATGCCAACAAATTGAATGACTTAGAGGAAATGGAGTAATTCCTAGAAAAATACAACCTACTAAACTTGAATCAGGAAGAAATTGAAAGCTTGAACAGACCAATAACAAATCAAGTGATTGAAGAAGTAATTTTAAAAACCTCCCAATAAAGAAAAGTCCAGGACCAAATGGCTTCACAGCTGAATTCTACCAAATATTCAAAGAAGAATTAACACAATACTTCTTAAATTCTTCCAAAGTATATTGTCATAAAGAATACTTCCAAACACATTTTTATGTGTTTGCATCATCTTCACACCAAAACTAAAGACATTACAGAAAATGACAGACTGATTTCTCAAATGAGCACTAGTACCAAAATCCTCCATAAAATATTATCAAATGGAATTCAACCACACATTAAAAAAATTACACATTATGACCAAGTGGTATTTATCCCCTGGCATGCAAGTCTGGTTTAATATACACAAATCAATCAATGTAATACATCACATTAGCAGAATGAAAGATAAAAACTACATGGTCATCTCATTTTTCTTGGCAAAATCATCTGACAAAATCCAACATCCTTTCTTTTTTCTCCCTCCCCCCCAACCTCCTTTCTTCCTAAAAGCTAACAGAACAGAATAGGGGCCCAGAAATAAATCCAAACATATACAGGGTCAATTGATTTTTGACAAGAGTACCAAGAGGCACAATGGGGAAAGGATAGTCTCTTTAAAAATGGTTCTGAGAACGCTGAATTTCCACATGCAAAAGAATGAAATTGGACCTTTGTCTTACACCATGCACAAAAATTAGTTACAGAAAGAAAGTTTCTCAACATAATAAAAGCCATTTATGAAACACCCACTCACAGCTAGCATTTTAATCAATGAGAAAAAAACAAAAGCTTTTCCACTAAGATCCAGTACAAGGTAAGGATGCCCACTCTCACTGCCTCTGTTCAACATAGTACTGAAATTACTAGCCAGAGCAATCAGAAAGAAAAAGAAATAAGAAATGAAAGTCATGCAAATAAGAAAGGAAAAACTAAAATTATCTCTATTTGCAGATGACATGATACTATAGAAAACCCCAATGATTCCACAAAACTGTCATAATTAATAAATGAAATCAGTAAATTTGCAGGATATAAAATAAACATACAAAAGCCAGTAGTATCCTTATACACCAATAACAACCTAACTGAAAAAAGAAATTAAGAAAACAATTCCATTTAAATAGCATTAAAAATACTCAGGAATAAATTTAGGCAAGGAGGTGAACCGTCTGTACATTGAAAACTGTGAAACACTGATGAAAGAAACTGAAAAAGACACAAATAAATGGAAAGATATTCCATGCTCATGAATCAGAAGAATAAATATTGTTAAAATGTCCATACTTCCCAAATCCATATACAGATTCAACACAATGCCTGTCAAAATTCCAATGTCATTCTTCACAGAAATAGAAAAAAAAAAATCCTAAAATTTGTATAGGACCACAGAAGATCCCAAATAGCCAAGACAATTATGAAAAAGAAAAACAAAATTGGAGCCATGACACTTCCCTTTTTAAAATTATGTCACAAAGATATAATAACCCAAACAGTATGTATGGTAATGACTATGTAATACATACACATACATATATACATACATACATTAAATGTATACACATTTTAAGAAAGGAAAAAAATGATTAAAATTGTAATACTCAATATATACTGATAACAAAAGATAAATACAAGTCATGTTTGACTTCTGCAATTACCAGAGGTGCTCAAAGTGGACACGGCAGCATCCAGACACTTCTAGTGACCATGAACTAGTGCAGGACTTGTTGCTCTACAAAACCTTTCGATCCTGCCTCCTGCACCCAATACACAGTTCCATGCATCTCAAATGTATCACAAATGTGTGCGGTTTTTAGGTGTGCTAGAGGTTCTGTTGCATACTCATACCACCATTGTCATTGTCCTCAAATTTCAAATGCCACTTCAAAATGGTCTCATGTATGTTTAGGATGGATAGTTCTTGTTGATGGATTCAAGAGAATAAATAAATAAATAAATAATTTTTTGAGTTGGAGTTTCATTCTGTCACCCAGACTGGAGTGCAGTGACATGCTCCCAGCCATCACAGCCTCAACCTGCTGGGCTCCAGCAATCCTTCTGCCTCAGTCTTCCAAGTAGTCGGAACTACAGACGCGCACTACCACGCCTGACTAATTTTTGATTTATTGTAGAGATGAGGTCTTGCCAAGTTGCCCGGGCGGGTCTCGAAGCCACAGTCTCAGGCAATCCACTCACCTCGGCCTCCCAAAGCGCTGGAATTACAGGCTGAGCCACCAAGCCCGGCCAATAAATAAATTTTTTAAATGGTCTTGCACTTCTCCAACGAAAACCATGTCTCTGCCATTTTCTTTGTCCTGCTTGCCAGAGGGTGATGCTAGTGCTCACTTGACTAGCCATCTTTTCAGCGAAGATCATACTACACACTGCTACAGTAATTCAATTCAACTTTGAAAAGTAATACATAGATAACATCTCTTAAAATGTATATACATTTTTGGCACCCCTGGTTTATGAATATTATATATAATGTATATAATTATATATATGAATATTATTCAGCCTTAAAAAAGGAAATCCTGGCTGGGTGTGGTGGCTCACGCCTATAATTTCAGCACTTTGGGAAGCCGAGGTGAGAGGACTGTCTGAGCCCACAGGTTCGAGACTAGCCTGGGCAACTTAACAAGACCTGGTCTCTACAATAAATAAAAAAATTAGCTGGGTGTGGTAGCGCATGCCTGTAGTTCCAGCTACTTGGCAGGCTGAGGTGATAGGATTGCCTAAGCCCAGCAGGTCAAAGATGCAGTGGCCGTGAGCATGCCACTGCACTCCAGGCTGGGTGACAGAGTGAGACTCCGACTCAAAAAAAAAGAGGAAATCCAGCCATTTGCCACAACGTGGATGAAACTGGAAGACATTGTGCTGAGTGAAATAAGCCAGACACAGAAAGACAAATATTGCACGATCTCACTTATATGTGGAATCTAAAAACAAAAAGTCAAATTTACAAAGATAGAGAGTCAAATAGTGGTTACCAGGAGCCAGTGGGGATGTGGGGGGAGGACATGGGGAGATATAGGTGAGAGGATATAAAGTAGCAGATGTGTAGGGTGAAAAAACCTAGATATCTAATGTACCACGTGAAAGGACTATAGGTTATCAAATTGTACTGTATAAAGGACACAGCAGAAGATATTAGAGACTGGGAAGGATGGGGGAAGGGAAGGATAGAGAGATATTTGTTAAAGGACACAAAATTACAACCAGATAGGAGGAATGAGTTCTAGTGTTCTACAGCACTATAGGATGACTATAGGTAACAAGAATTTATATTTTCATATATCTAGAAGAGCGGATATTGGATATTGCCAAAACAAATGAA